TACACTCTTAAAAATAAAGGTGCTTCAAAAGGTTCTTCAAGCGATGCCATAGAAGAACCATTTTTGGTTCCACAAAGAACCATTCAGTCAAAGGTTCTTTAAAGAACCATCTCTTTCTTACCTTTTTTTAATCTGAAGAACCTTCTTTCGCCACAAAGAACCTTTTGTGAAACAGAAAGGTTCTTCAGATGTTAAAGGTTCTTTATGGAACCATTTAGACAAAAAGGTTCTTCTATGGCATCGTGAAGCACCTTTATTTTAAAGAGTTTTTTTGGTAACACTTTATTTTAAGCTGTCCTCGTTACATGTATTTACTATTATAATAACAATTAATTATGCATAATTATAAGCAAGTAACCCTAAGCCAATCCTAACCCTAACCATATAGTAAGTACATGTAGTTAATAAATATTACTCAGTACTTAAATGTATAACTACACTGTAACAAGGACACCTTAAAATAAAGTGTAACCCATATTTTTTGTTAGCTTGGTGTATTGTCAGAAAGGCTACACTGTAAAGTGACAGGAGTGACAACTGCATTTAGCTGCAGTAATATGTCATAGATATGTGAATTCATTATATATATATATATAGAGCGAGAGAGAGAGAGAGAGAGAGAGAGAGAGAGATACTTATACAGACTGTAAAAGAAATCGAAATAACCATAGGCATGACATATTCAAATATTAAAAAAGAACGTAATAGTATACATAAACAATAACACACAATAATTAACAGTGCAACAGTGTGAATAATTAATAAACACATGCTATTAACATAAGCTAAAAAACAAACAAAGCTAAAAGACTAACTAGTAGCAATATTGTTTATAAGAAATTCAAACTGAAAAACATTAAAGTATTTATTATTAAACTTAATTTAGAACATTAAGTATGATTAATCTCCTCCAAAATTGGACATTTCCCAAGCGCACATGTCCATCTACTCCTTGAAAGCAGTAACGGCTGGTAAAGGTAAAAACATGCTGTCTGTAAAGGAAGGGCTCAAGCATATGGGACATAACTTGAGCTATAATTTCCCCTCGGACTACTTAAAGTCCATCCCAAATTCATTTATACCAGAGATTAAAAATAAAGGCGCAATTGGGGTGGTGGGGGATGCCTGAAGAACTGGGTTGTGATGGACAAACTTTTGTTTTGTGATGGCTTTTGAATGCATTCTCCATGTTCTCAGTCACATCCATACTGACACACTGTAAAAAAAATTCCGTAAAATTTACGGTAAAAAAACAGCAGCTGTGGTTGCTGGAATTATACCGTAAAAAAATACAGTAGCAATGTTTTAGGTTTTACGGTTTTAACTTAAATTTACAGTTAAATACCGTAATTTCATTAACTGATGTAATGTTAATATACCAACCTATTGAAGTACTGAAATCTGTTTTGTACCTTTGTAATATACTGATAACCACCAAATGCAGGTGGTGATGAGAAAGTCACATGATGAACCAAAGCCCATCACAAGCAACTTTTAAATAATAACATATATAGAAGGAGCACAGTGTCATTCACACAAACACTAAACAGCATCATGGTAACACACATGAAACTGAAATAATGCAATAAACATTCATTTAACAACATTAGGTGTAACACACAACCCTAATATACAAAACTGATAAGAAAACACTGAGAAGAAACATAGTTATTTCAACAAAAAAACATCAAATTTGAAATGTAACGCAGGGAATTCTGGGAATGTCAATTTACGGTTATTCACTGTAAATTATATGGTATTTTTCACTTCCAAAAACGGTATACTACCGTAAAATTTATGTCCAATACATGTAATGTCCAATACAGTTTTATATATAATAGGGGAATTTACCGTTAACCATTTAACAGGTTTTTACTGTAGCATTTTTACAGTCTTTTACCGTTAAATTCACGGTAATTTTTTACAGTGCACTCTTTGCACTGATAGGGCTTGACAAACAAACAAACAAATATAAAAACAAACACTCATGCAAAAAGTGTGGAGGTGGTAATATGTCAGCCCTTTTAATTCATGCACAGTAAAAAAATGCTGGGTTGTTTTAACCCAACTTTGGGTCAAATATGGACTAACCCAACCGTTGGGTTAAATGTTTCTATTAAATTTGTAACCCAAAAGTTGGGTTAGTCCATTTTTGACCCAAAGTTGGGTTAAAACAACCCAGCATTTTTTTAGAGTGTGGCATCATATTAAAATTAGATGTAAAGTTCCCAGAAAAGTCACAAATGAAATCTCAGGATAAACGTCCCAGACAAAGTCACATACTTGAACTAAACTCAAATTACAACTCCATTACGTCTCCAAAGCAGCAGCCTTTGAGTAATAGTTCTCCTCTGGGTAGGCTGAAGGATTAGGTTTCTGTGTGCGCAATAAAGAGCTGTCGGTGCGCAGTTCATCATCTCTTCAGAGAAATATACAGTGCGTTTATTAACGACTCGCGTCGTATCTGGACAGTTATTTATTTTCCATTATGACAGAGAATAACTTGACAGCACATGCTCTGGAATACCCAGTGTGCTCAGAATGGAAGGAAAATCCTGAAGGATCAATGTTTCATCTCGCACATATGCTGCTGGTTTTAGGATTTATGGGCGGCAGCGGCTTTTATGGATCACTCTACATGTTCAGCTTTTTAACGCTGGGGTTTTTCTGTTATTCGATCTGGGCATGGTCCGATCCCTGCACGACTGACTCGTTTTCATGGGCTTTCGCCCTTTTCGCCTTCTGTCTGGCACAAGTTGTTCATGGGTCGTACCGATTGCGAAGCATCACTTTTGATAAAGAGTTCCAGGATCTCTACGATCATATGTTCAAAAAGCTGGGGGTATCCTTAACCCATTTTGGAAAAATCGTGGAGTGTTGTGAGGGCGATGTCTACACTATAGATAAAGACCACTGCTTCGCCGTGGAGGGTAAAACCTCCATCGACAAACTGTCCGTTCTTATCTCAGGCAGGTGAGTAAACGGACTTTATAACTAGAAATAATCGGCGTATTATACTGTGTGTGCTTCAAGACAAACAAAGCACTCGCTTTGTCTAAAATAGGATACGAGTGACGGTGAACGGGGAGTTTTTGCACCACATCTATCCATTTCAGTTCCTGGACTCTCCAGAGTGGGACTCCCTCAGACCTCCAGAAGAAGGGATTTTTCAGGTGAACAAATTGTGTGTTTGTTTTCGTACTGTAAACTTTGTAATGGGACAACTTCTTGTATTTTTTTCCAGGTTACGTTACGTGCAGATAACCGGTGCAGGTACGTGGCGTGGAGACGTAAGAAACTCTATCTGCTGTTCGCGCAGCACCGCTACATCGCCAAGATCTTCGCGCTGCTGGTGCGCAATGACATCGCGGAGAAACTCTTCTCTCTCAACGAAAAGGCTTTCGACACCCGCGGGTTCCGCTACGATCTCCGGTTACCAAGCTTCTGTCACGGACCACAGCCAGAAATAGAAAACACAAGTGAATCCCGGCCAGTGCTGGGACAGAGTGAAACCAAACCGACAGAAAGAGACTCATGAGAAACGCACGCTCCAAATTTGTGTAGCCTTAAATTATGGCAATTAATGGTCCTAGTTTTGTCAAGCGTTGTTGTATTCTTTTATATCCCACACATATTTTTGTCCTTGTTTTATTTAATTGTAGTGACCTGAAATCAAGTGTTTTTGTTCAGTCAAGCCATTTTTCAACAATTGCTCAGATTAACACTTAATTAGTATACACTGTATATCAAGGCATCTGTGGAAACGTTGTCTGAATGAATGAGATATTAACTGTTTAGAATCAAGCTTTCACGTGAAGACTAGTCTCTCATCTCTCTGCATCACCAATACATCCTAGAACACCTACATGAACACTGTCAATCTGAAGTTGTTATTTAACTGTTGCCCATGCCTATGTAGGCTAGTATGTTTGCTTTACACACAAATGAAATGTTCACACATTTTGAAAATAAAATAAAAAATTCTTATAGACTCGTAAAAGCAACTATGAAGGGGTATATCAATGATTTCAGAATTAAAGGGGACACTATACAGGATTTTTCTGACAGGCTATAGTTTATTTTTCTCTCCACTTTTTGAGAGATTGCATTTTTAGCACATTTTTATTATCATAGGCTTGTTTGTGTTTCGAGCAGGTAAACAGCTAGCGTATTTCAACCAAGTGTAGTTCACATTTTGGCTAAGCTGTGAGTGTGATACATACGGTGACCGAGAAGTGCAAAACAAATAACAATTCTGAAAACAAAATAACAAATTACAAACGCAAATGCAAGTCTAAAAAACAAAATAACAATTCAGAAAGCACAATGACAATTCAGAAAACATTATAACAAGTCAGAAAACACAATGACAAATTAGAAAACAAAATAACAAGTCAGAAAACACAACGACAAATCAGACAAACCGGAAGAGGTAGGTATAGTTTGAGACAGCGCCATTGGTTTGGGATTACTCACCACTGACTGGTTGAGACATCTGTCAATCAATGTATACAGGAAGAACCAGCCGAAGAACAGCAGAGTCCTGGTAGAAAGTTCGGAGATGGTATTAAAGTAGCTCAGTTTAAATGT